AAGGGTCCCGGGTTCGATTCCGGTCAAGGGCCTGTACCTTGGTTGCAGGCACATCCCCAATAGGGGAGTGTGCAGGAGGCAGCTGATCGATGTTTCTAACTTTCTATCCCTCTCCCTTCCTCTCTGTAAAAAATAAATAAAATATATTTTAAAAAATACTAATGGCATAGTTCACAGATCTATAACAAACACTACAAAAATTTTTATGGAACCAAAAAAAAAAAAACCCGAATAGCCATAGCAATCTTGAGAAAGAAAAACAAAGTTCAAGGAATAACAATACCAGATATCAAGTTATACTACAAAGCCACTGTATTCGAAACAGCCTGGTACTGGCACAAGAACAGGCATATAGATCAATGGAACAGAACAGAGAACCCAGAAATCGACCTAAGCCATAATGCTCAATTAATATTTGACAATGAAGGCAAGAACACACAATGGAGTCAAGAGAGTCTCTTCAATAAATGGTGTTGGGAAAATTGGACAGATACATGCAAAAAAAATGAAACTAGACCACCAATTTACACCATACAGAAGAATAAACTCAAAGTGGATAAAAGTCTTAAAAGTAAGTTGTGAAATCATAAAAATCTTAGAAGAAACTATAAGCAGCAAAATCTCAGACATCTGTCATAGCAATATGTTTACCAATACATCTCCTAGGGCAGTGATGGCGAACCTTTTGAGCTCAGCGTGTCAGCATTTTGAAAAACCCTAACTTAACTCTGGTGCCGTGTCACATATAGAAATTTTTTGATATTTGCAACCATAGTAAAACAAAGACTTATATTTTTGATATTTATTTTATATATTTAAATGCCATTTAACAAAGAAAAATCTACCAAAAAAATGAGTTCGCGTGTCACCTCTGACACGCGTGTCATAGGTTCGCCATCACTGTCCTAGGGCAAAGGTAACTAAGGAGAAAATAAACAAATGGTACTACATTGAAATAAAAAGCTTCTGCACAGCAAAAGATAACATCAACAAAATGAAAATAGAGACCACTGCATGAAAGATCATATTTGCCAATGATACATCCAATGAGTGGATAATTTCCAAAATATATAAGGAAATCAGTTTTACAACTTAACAAAAAGAAGACAAACAATCCAATTAAAAAATGGGCAAAGGACCTAAATAGACCCTTCTCCAAAGTGGACATACAGATGGCCAAGAGACATTTGAAAAATGTTCAAATTCGCTGATCATCAGAGAGATGCAAATTAAAACCATATGAGGTATCACCTCACACCTGCCAGAATGGCTACCATCAACAACTCAACAAATGACAAGTGCTGGCGAGGATGTGTAGAAAAGGGAACCCTAGTACACCGCTGGTGGGAATACACACTGGTGCAGCCATTATGGAAGACAGTATGGAGTGTCCTCAAAAAATTAAATATAGAACTGCCATTTGACCCAGTGATCCCACTTCTGGGAAAATGTCCTAAGAAATCCGAAACACCAATCAGAAAAATTGTGTGCAACCCTACATTCATAGCAATGCAATTTACAATAGCTAAGATCTGGAAACAGTCCAAGTGCCCATCAGTAGATGAGTAGATAAAAAAGCTGTGGTACAGCCAGTTCCAGTGTACCTCAGTGGTTGAGCATCGACCTATGAACCTTTTTTCCAGTAGCCAACAGAGCCCATATTTCCTTTTCAGGCCATTATCCACTTCTCACTGGAACCAAGCTAGTTCTTGTTTGAAACCTCCAACACATTTTTCCATAGAGCAATTCTACAGTGTTTAAGCTCTTCATCATTATACCTCTCGATTGTGCACTGGTCTGAAAATGTAACTACCCTTAATAATTTTTCCTGTGGGAAAACATGTTAAGTCTCAAACAACCAATTTTCACACTTCTGAATGATAATTCAAAGGTTAACAATGACCCATGAAACAAGACAGATAAAATATATTAGAAAAGACTCCATAATATATGATAGTGTATATAATCTTTAATTTTATCATGATTCAACACACACAGAAATTACTTCCTTTCACATTAAAATTAATAGATTCTTAGGTTTTATTTAAGAATGTCAACATATTTTCAAAATATGTAGTTACAATGAAAGCAACCTTAGTCCCCAAAACTATCACAATTGAAGGCCGCAAAGCTCATGCTCAAAGATTAACATTTCTAAAGTCAACATCAACAAACATGTAATTAGAATAAATATAAATTCTCAAAGGAATACCATTATAAACAAATAACAACAAAAACTTCTACTAAATACTAAGCAGGCCTGTTTATATGTAGCATTTAGTTTTCACCTAGAATATTTGAATTAACTCACTTGCAGGGTTAAATCTACATAATCATAACTGTTTTAGGCAAAGAATGCAGAAATACTATCTTCACCACATTACCTTCACCTTTCATTTTACTTCATACAGATTAACAATTTCCACTGGAGTAGTTTTCCAAATTTCTGAGGTAGAAAGACCCATTGTTAAATCTCTACTATATCTAAAACATACTGCAAACAATAAAAAACCATGTGTGGTAATTACAATAGAAAACACTTAAAATAAAAATAAAGAAAGAAAACACTTATACAGTAAAAGTTAACAAAAAATAATAAAATAGTAGGCATGTGAAAGGCTACCCAGCCCGCACCCCATCCTTATTCAAGTGGTCTTGTAAACCAGTCACCTGAGTCTATGTCAGTAGATTACATACATGAATAAAACAGTAATATCTGCTCTTGAATAGTCTGGCAGAAAATTCTTGGAAGTATAAAACATCCCTACATCCCAAAAAGAAATGAACCCCTCTTCATTTGTCCTGTTCTTAATAGATGTAGAATATTAAATGTATTTGGGAATTGCTTAATTCTGTAGTAAAATATTCCCTATAAGTAGAGAGGACTCAACTTTAGACAACTGAATGTGTTTCTACTACATTCTTGTTAAATGTTACTCTGGCATGTAATTTTAACCCAGTTCAGTTGGAAATTTGAAAGGAAAAAAGAATGAGTTAAACAAACAAGAGTCCAAAGTGTATTTTTAAGGATGGAGTGATACTTAAAGACATATTTGCACCTTGAGACACTGAGGATTTCAAGTTCTTCCTCAAAAGACCCTATTGGGAGTCAGTTTGGCATTCAAGTATTTTTAGAAGGTCTATGGTGGCCTCTACTGTAGTACTAGGCTGTCAATCAATTAAGTTATCAGATCTGACTTTCTATCCCAAAAGTGTAGTTATTGTGCTTAAATGCTGCCTGCTTTAAATAGCAACAACAACAACAAACAAACAAACAAACAACAAGAAAGCGAAGTACCTGTGCACATCTAAGTTCTCACTGCACAGCTGATCAAAGTTCAACCACAACAGTTTCAGAAGAGGAGCAGGAAGAGAGGAGAACCAAAATATTATGGTTAAATCTCGCTGTCTTACCAAAGATACATTATATAAGGGCTGGAGTTTACTATGTGTCTTTTATGGAACAATGGGGCGGCGTGGACAACAATTGTGAAAGGCAGAAAGAAGGGGTGGAGGAAAGGGGGCGGTGGAAAGAGGGGACCACAGAGGATGCAGTAGAACATCACCTGAATGTAGATTAAGAAATCTGGCTTCCAGTTAATCGACACTGGGGTTGTTACAAAAAAGACACAAGCCACACAGAAATGAAAAAAACAAGTAAGAAAGGCGCACTCATCCCTAGTTGCAAATGTCCCCAATTACTTAGTCAACTTGGTGTTTTTGTTGCCCTGGGTTCCTAAAACACCCACGCTTCAACAGAGAGCTGAAGTTAGCAGCTGTCCCCCAAAGTGTTCCCAGCGAGTGCAGAGAGACTTGCGAACCCAGCGCGACACCTGGCTCATCCCCTAGTCCCACTCTAGATCGCTAAGTGCAGAAACTTAGTCGCAACTCCAGAGTAGCCAGCGAAGCAGGCAATCTCTCTACAACTGAGCCTGCCAGCTAGTCCCTGCCTGCTCTGAGGGAAGGCACAGTTGGGACAGCGCTTGTTTAACCCTCCTGCAGCCTCCAGAGGGCTTGCTTGGGCACCCTGCTCCCCAGCCCCACGCCCCTTCTTTCTGGAGTCCCCGCCAGGATCCGGAGGGAAGGAGGAGGGTGGCTCCAGCCCCCCTCGGCCACCACACTAACCTCGCAGCTGCTCGCGCCGCCACCAAACACCTCCATGTCTTGATCCCAGGGCTCCTCCTGAGGAGCGAATGGTAGCATCACCCCTTCAGAAGCACAGGAACAGGAGCTGCCGACCACCGGCCCCGCTGTGCATCCTGTCTGTAGAGCTTTCCTGCCGCCGCCAGGACCTTCCAGCCCCGCCTGCAGCGACCGCTACTCTAGCCACTGGGTCCCTCCGAGGCTGGGAGCCAGAGGTCACCTCCGCCACAGGCTGCTGCTCCCCATAGAGAAGACAACTCCGCGCTGTCTCTCCTGGAGCTGCCGCTGGGCTCCGCTCACCCCCACCTCC